TAATAATAATAATTTCCTAGTTCTTCATGCAGACATACATGGTCTAGGGCAGGGTAGTGAACAGGAGACAGGGCTGATCCTGAGTTCACCCAGGCAGCTTGGTGGCTGTTCACAGGACAGGGCCCAGATCCCCTCTGCCTAAGAGGGAAATTCAGGCTTTTGTAGTTCCCAGTTTTTCTACAGGTTAAAGCCTTAATTCCCCCCTCCTCAATCTGATACTGAGCTTCCTCCAATTGGGATCCCATTGTGAGAGAGGAAAGGCACCTCCTTTAGAGTCACTTTGCGATGTTTAAATTCGGTGGTCACAGTTTTGGTTTCAGACCCTGTCATCAGAAGCCGTCATCACAAACAGGATGTTTGTTGGAGCCGTGCTGGGGCATAGCTGGGAGCTCCTTTGGCTTTTGCTCGGGTGTGTTGGTTTTGTGCATTGCAAAACAAATTATTAGCAACACCCCAGCAGTTGTTGAGTTTCTATGTAAGAAAATGAGGGAAAACAAATGGGATTGAGCAAGATGTTTCACTCTGATTCTGATCCCGATCCCAGAAATGCGGCTCTGGATTTTCAAAATGAAAGGAGCAGCGGCTTCATGGAGAATCATCCTATTTTGTTCATTGCATCAAAATCCAGGCATTTCTGTGAATTATTTAGCATTATCCAACAGGATTTGCCTGTCTCACCAAACCATCCTGGTCTCCTTTAATGTAATGAAGTTAAATTTGCCCCTGGCAGTGGGGTCTTGTCGCTGCTGTGCTGCAGATCTCAGTTACACTGCGGATTTCTTCGGCACAAATACAATCCCTGCACAGAGAGATAGGGGCAAACGGGTTTAAATCCAACTCCATGTTTCAGACTGACATCCATATGTGGTGCTAGGTGAAATTCCAGGGTTTTTTTTAACAGTTTTTCCCAAAAGGAATTGGAGAGGTTTCCCTGCTATTCAGTAGAGTTTTCTTGTGGAGAATGCTGCTTTACGGGATTAAAACTGTTTCCCAGGGATCAGCAAATCTTGCCGGGAGTTATCAAAGCACTTCCAACCTTTTTAATTATTATTTTAGCATTATTTTATCATTACTTTTTACAATCAATACAATAATAATAAAGCCCAAATGAAAGAGGTTATTCTTATTCAGGAGAAACATCTCAGTAAGACTGAAATACTTGCAGGGATTTTGTTTTATTGGTTAGAAAAGAGGCTGCAATTTTGACTTTCCATCCTCACTTTGGGACAAAACATTTTAAAATCTTGGCTTTTCCCAAGGGTTTGAATTGTTGTGTCACAACAAGATCCCCCTCAGAAGAAGTGGGATCCACTAGTGATGGACAAGAGAGTGCCGGGCATAGCCTGCAAAGGGAGCGACCTGCACCTCTATGGCTTTGGATGATTTCTATGGTGGGCATTGTGTTCCCCACTCACAGCCTCAAGGTCTGAGGTCTGGGTGGGAGCAGAGCAGGGAACACACTGTCACTGTCACTCTAGGAACGTTGAAATCAGCTCTTTCACAGACACGGGACGGGAAAATGGTCGCTTTTGTTCCTTAGGTGCTGACCTTTGTTCTGTAGTAGATGCCGCACTGGGAGTTATTATTCCGAGTCCTGTTTTCACAAGGCGAAGTCCCACTGAAAGCCCCGGAGAACACAACGTGGCCCAGATAATGCTGCGGGAATGACATCCTGCAGCTTGGTGCTGCTTGCTCAGCCTGCTTGTGCATGGCAGAGGGCGAGCAGTGGCAATGTCCTTTCCAGTTGATTTCTTGCTTCTTTATTTGAGATAAAGGCAACGGGGACATCCGTTCTGCTCCAGCCCATGTCTGGATTCAGAGCGCTGTGGCTTCTCAGCAGGAAGGGATTATTGCAGCAGGAAGGATTTATTGTAGAGGAGGATGGAAGCAGCACTTTATTTTAGGCAGTACCTTCTCTAGCCAAAGTTTGTTGGTGCGTTTTACTCATTGCCACCTCATCTGCAAGCCATGGACAAGGTGTTGTATGAAATAGGAACAGTGTGTCCCTCCTTTCCAGGGACCCGCAGTGGCCCAGAAATCTTGGGGCTTTCCAAAGGGCTTTGTGTTGGCCTTCCTCCATCCACAGGCGATGACAGACCTCACTGGCCCATACCTGGCACTGTTACCCCAGGGCTCAGTGACTCCAAATACCCCTCCTCATCCATGGCAGGAGCTGGACCTCAGAGCCCTTGCACCCGTCAGATGCTCGGCATCTCCCTCTGCTCCCATAGCAGCTGAGGTCCCTCCTGGTTGCAGGGGTGAAGGACACAGCTCCAGCAGCTGAAAAGCTTTAAGGAAGCTCTGTGGCTGCTTCAGGACTTTGCTGTGACACCATGTCCCATACTGGGGACAAGGATTGCTGTCCCCTCCTCTGTGCCAGGCTTGTCAGCTCACACCTCGGTGTATTTTAATTTTTGCTTGGTTATTTCTTGAAGGCTAAATAATTCCCAAAGCAGTATCATTACTTGCAAATAGCTGCTGAGACCTCTGCTGAGTGAATCAAAGCTTGGGCACGGCAGTTGTGTCTCTTGAACCTCAAAGCTGATCTTTATTTGGCTGCTATCTTTGTAAAAACATTGTGTTTTTATTCCTCCTCTTCCCACCTCATTCGTTCTGTTGCTCAGTCATGATGTCGAGCAATAATGGAAGAATAAACAAACAGGGAGTTCTTTATTGCCTGCATCACCTATTGTCTGCCTTTGAGTGGAATCAAAGTGATTTTTCTCAAGGCTGAAGAACTTGTTCAAACACCTGAGTGTGGAGAGGCTGTGACACCACTCATGTCACTGGTACCCTATATTTAGTGAAGTCTTTTATTATATTAGTTTCAATACCTAGTGTTAAGAGTCTTTCAGATGAAATGCCTATCGAGCTGACACGTCTATATAGAGACTTGTGAATTTTCCAGTGGTGTGGAGCACTGTTGTCTGAAATGCGTTTGCTGCTTCTGCCAGGATATTTTCCTTCTCCATTTTGAAGCACTAACATTTCAGAGCCAGCAATCACTGCGATCACAAAATAGGTCATAAATTAACGGTTGCACAGTGTGTTTGCAGCCTGCAAGGGAACAGATTATCTGTGAGACGTGCAAAGAATATCCTCCCTGGTACCATCATGGGCCAGTTCAGTTTGCTTCTGCTCAGTGCAGCGAATTGATTCCAGTTTTCCTAAACCAGAGATTAATTGGGATGTTGCTAACTTTAGTGGTAGTTCTGACTGCAGAAAACAAGAAGAGTTCACTTAAAACATAAGTAGTTTTCATTGTGCACTTAAAGCCTGCTTGGCATTTTCCTTCTCTTTCCCCATCTGAGTGGATTTCCTGGAGGAAAGTTCTCTGTGCTCTGAGTCCTGAACACTTCCAGCAGATTTATTGGAAGTTTGTGAAAAGAGTTGCAAGGATATTTGCCAGGTTTACCCAGTTCAGTAAAAAGAACTTGCAAATCGGAGTGATCTCATTTGAATTTAATTTCTTTGATCTGCATTTCCCTATCGCATGTGCTTCGCATTTTCCAGGAAAGTGGTGTAATTGTAGGTTTTATATGAAAGGAAACTTCCCAATTAATCATTCCTATGTGTGCATTCATGTGTGTGTTTGCTTGTTTTTCAAGTCTTCATCTAGACGTGCTGGCCTATGTTGCACTAACTGCCACACAACCAATACCACCCTCTGGAGAAGGAATGCTGAAGGGGAGCCAGTCTGCAATGCCTGCGGGTTGTACATGAAGCTCCATGGGGTGAGAAGCACATCCAAACTGGGAGGGATCCTTTGGGTGCTGGGATCACTGCCCAACAGGTCCAGGATATCAGATCTGGAAGGACCAGACTCTAGACCGGACCCAGAAGAGCCATAAACCAGTCTTGTCTTCTCAGACAGTTAAAAGCTCAGTCTACTGAGGTTCTCCTTGATAAGGCTAAAGGGGGTACTGGAACATTCTCAGGAGGTACCTGAATAGAGGAGAGATTTCTGGTATTGGGTGGCTCTTAATTAGGTTGTTTGACAAGTTGCTCCCCAAAAAGTAGTATTAAGGAAGCAATTCTTCACTATGAGGGTGCTGAGGTGCTGGCACAGGGTGCCCAGAGAAGCTGTGGCTGCCCCATCCTTGGCAGTGTTCAAGGCCAGGTTGGACACAGGGGCTTGGAGCAACCTGCTCTAGTGGAAGGTGTCCCTGCCCCTGGCAGGGGGTTGGAACTGGATGAGCTTTAAGGTCCCTTCCAACCCAAACCAGTCTGTGATTCTATGATTCTATGAAAAGAAAGCTTACCAGGCTTCAGTAGCTGGAGACTGAAGCTCCCCAAATCCAGACTGGAGATAAGGAGCATATTTCTTCTAGATGTGGTGATTAAGAATGTGTGAAGGATGCTAAGGAGTCCACGTGGAGGCTGGCTGATAACATTCACCCACAGAGGATGGGAACTGTTAGTAACATGTCCATCAGCCAAAGAGGAGTCTTCATCCTCCATACAGGCCTCTTCAAACTTCTGCTGTAAAGGTTTAAGTCTCTTCATTCCATGACCGTTCCCTTTAAGCCAAGTAGGCTTTCAGTTTGTCAGTGTAATTTAATAGGGCTCTGTCATAAAGGTCACTAATAAATCAGAAAAAGGAAAATAGGAAATAAAGTTAAAAACAGAATTTGTGGGAAAGCTGTAGCTGTTAGCCTTATACATCTTCCAGCCAAGGCCTGTTGCAGAGAAAAATAGCAGCTTAGTGAAGGACAAGGACTTTAGGTGCGTTGCATGAGCTATGGAACATAAATAGGGAAGCAACACGTGTGTGGGAAGGACCTAAGTAAAATACAATATTAATGATTCTAAACTTTATGAATGTCAAGGTACCACGACCTCTGGCCATGAAAAAGGAAAGCATCCAGACAAGGAAAAGGAAGCCTAAGAACATTACCAAAGGCAAAACCTCAACAGGTACAGTGCTGTTATGATCCATCACAGGGGTTTGGAGCACAATTCACCTCAAAATGTCTTTTGCAAGAAATTATGATAATTAGAAAATAATATTCTGATTTTTATTTAGATATAGGGCCTGTATTTATGCATAGACCTCACATGGAAGGAGGATGCTGGGTGGGAAATCTCACTGCTGTCACATTCCCCTGAGGTTCCTCTGTGCTGTGGACACCCAGCTCCAGTCCAGCAGTGTTTTGTCCACACAGATCTGGGCTAAATTGAGTAATGGGAAAAAACAGGGCTGGGAAAGGTGTATTAAAGAGTTAAAGGGAAGGTATCATGATGCACTCAACATTAGCCCATCTGGCCTGTGCCAGGGTCAGCACTGCCAGTCTGTGAAAGGTGCTCCTTCTCCTCCTCCATCAGCATCTTGGCAGCCAAATATAAAGCCTTCCCCTGACAGAGATGTGGTGGAGAGAGAGGAGTTGTGCCATGAGATATCATAGCAGCCATTAAAATATAAGTTTCTTAAGAGCAGATTTGCACCTCTGTTGCTTCACTGTCCTGAACGGATTTTCTTCCAGGGTCTACAACTTCGGCCACTAACTCCCCTTCTTCCATTACGAACTCAGACAGCACGGTCACTTTAAAGTCAGAGCCCAGCGCATCCTCACAGTATCCCGGACAAAGCATGGTGTCAGTGTCCCAGGTAAGGCACAGGGGCCATGGTCTGCTGGGGTGGGTGCTCCACACACCTCAGTAGTCATTGACCTGGGGGTCTTGATGACGCTAAGCAATTAGTTCATTGCATTAGGGGCCAGCAGTGTGATGGACTGCCTCAGATTGAGGAAAACAGGGAGTGTGAGCCAAGACGTTGCAGACCAGGAAGGGCTCCAGCCTGTTGGCTCCACATCAGCTCTTCCATCTCGCAGTGGGGAACTGGGAGGTCCAAGCCTGCTGCTACAGAGGCGATCAGTGATGAAACAGCTTTGGTGCAGAGCTGGATTTAATTCCAATCTCCTGCCATGAAATCCTGGAAGTTATAACCCTGTTGAGTTGGTGGGATCAGCCCAGGGTGGAAACCTCCCAAGAAAAGGCTCTCTGGACATGTGTTATCTGGAGTTTATAGCCCTGAGGTGCTCAGTGCTCGCAGAGCTGTAATGCTGTCAGAGACCCCAGACTGCAAGGCTGTGCTTATGCCCCAGGGAATTCTTTGGGGCAGGTTGCTCTTTTGTCTTGGCAGAGTTAAAAACAGCTCTAAATCAACTTGCACATCAAAACTTTGTGACCCAGTTCTATCTTTATGCTGGGCTCAAGCCCTCCCCAAGCTGGACCTGTGTGCGTGGAGCCATCTGCACCATATGGCATAGGCGTTTTTTTGGCAGAAACAGATAAATCTAGTTGGTGCTGCACTCCTAAAAAAAATGCATGTGTCTAGAGATCCCCAAACTGGACATGTTTAGTCAATAACTAAATGCAGATGGGCCCCGGGATGCCTTCTCCGCGCTCGGTCCTTGTGCTTGCTGGGGGTGGAACACCCTTGCTGCCTGGCTTATCCGAAGGGCAGCAGTAGCATCAGGGATCACCCATCCTGTTCATAATCATAGCATCATAGAATGGTTTGGGTTGGAAAGGACCTTAAGATCATCTAGTTCCAACTCCCCTGCCATGAGCAGGGATGCCTCACACTAGACCATGTTGCCCAAGTCTCCGTCCAGCCTGGCCTTAAACAGTGCCATTGATGAAGCATTTACTATTTCTTTGGGCAACCTGTTCCAGTGCCTCTCCACCCTCACAGTAAAGAAATTCTTCCTTATACCCACCCTCAGAGATAACCCACCGTGTTCATAATCCATCCTCAGGAATAACCCATCCTGCTCATAATCCACCCTAGTTCTACCACCGTGTTACAACAAGGGGGAGAACGACCTGTTGGCTAATAACAGGCTCTCTAATGACTCTCTGCTTCCCTCCTGGGCAGGCGCAGAGCCAGTCAGATGAGGCGCTGGCCGGCGGCCACGGCGAGTTCAAGTTTGAGCCTGAGGACTACACCTTCTCGCCCAACAGCATGGCCCCGCAGCCCGGGCTGAGTGTGCCGCTCCGGCAGGACTCCTGGTGTGCCCTGGCACTCGCCTAGACACCACCAAGCTCCAGCAGAAACCCTCAGGACCAATGTTTTTGGCTGGCCCTGCAGATGGATGATGGGCAGGATGGGCTGCCCCAGCGCTTCGGGACTGTGGGGTGTCCAGCCACGGCTGCAGGACGAGTTTCTCTTGGAGGATGCACATGGAAAACGTTGGCTGGATGGGGCTGGGATGGCCCCGCTGTGGCACCAGCTCCCTAAAAGTCTCATCCTCAGCTGGAGCAACCCAGGGTTGCCTCCCCGAGGCCGGAGCCCCGGGGCTGCCTCTGTTTTCCTGGGGAAAAGCCTTTCCTCCTTTGAGATGAAACCAGCAAATAAATGCATCCCAGAATCTATGTTTATTCGCAGTGATTTCTCCCTCCTATGACTCCTCTGTGTGCAATTTATTCCACTTTCCAATAAAGACTGTAATAACGTGGCACCAAATAACTTAATTTTATTAAAATGTAAACTGTTTGGCCTCCCTTATGTTTTATTGGCCACAACAGGAAGAGAGAAAGAAAAGCAGCAACAGTTGTTTTAAACATTTACTGTTTTATATTAAAAAAGATCATCTCTGTAAAGTGTTAGCTTCTGAAGTGTTCAACATATCAACACTGAGCTCATGAGTCACACATGAAATAAACACGCTGCTCTTCCCTTTCCAGCTCCAAAGAAAGATTTTTTTTATCATTATTTTAGGCAAACCACATGACAAAAATGGTCAAAACCTCCCAATAATAAAAGAATACTGAAATGCTCTTTTATATTTCCTGATTGGTTTTGACATTGCCAACTCTGAGCATTAGAAAATCAGAAGTTAGTCCTCCAAAAGTTAAAACTTCGAGGGACTGGAAAATAAAGCATGTATTGGAGGTTTATTTCTTTGCATCCACTTTTGGGGAGGTTTTGAATCAAGGATTTCCAGCTTTCAGCCATGCAGGGCAGAGATTCCTTATTATTTGTTTTAACAAAAGCCAAGTAGAAAATAGTATCTTGGATGTCAGCTGCAGCAAAAGGTCATCAGTGATGCAAACCCCACATCAAACTTCCAAAAGCTGGCAACAGGGTGTTGCTACAGCTTCTTGAGGCTGCCCTGGTGAGGTGGGTAATGGGGGGATATGCTCTGCTCGGCGCTTGGAAGGGGGCCCTGAAGCACCAAAGGAGCCTGGGGACCCCAGACCATCTTGAGTAGGGGACATCGGTGGGAAATGAAGGGGGAGCAAGGTCATGAAGTTACTTCTATGGTCTGCTTTATTTGTTATTTCTAAATAAAATCCCCAGCCTGGCTCGATGGCTATTTATGGCCAGGAAGCTGTCAAGTAATAGTTCCTTAATATAGAAGTTGACCTGTCCAGGGCTTCCTGGAGCAACTCTTCCTCTTGTCAGAAAAGATGGATAGCTTGATTTTTATTATAAACAACAGGCTAAAGATGATCAGGGAGAGTAAATATGACATCAAGTCACAACTCAGCTGAGATGGAAGATGATGGTTTCCACTATGCAACCCTTGCTGGAGAAAAGGAGTTGCTCCAGGCACTGGGGAGCATCGGTTCCTTTCAGTGCTGCCATAGCTCAGCGGCTGATCATAGAATCACAGAATCATAAGGGTTGGAAGGGACCTTAAGGTCATCTAATTCCAACCCCCCTGATCCTCCAAAATAGCCCTTTGTGAGTATGGGGGGGTCAAGACACTCTTTTATCAAAGCTCAGGGATGAAAACTGTCTTTGGAAGAGCATTTCTTGTGCCTCCAGAGCTTCATTAGCACCTTGCATCACACCAAGCTCCAGTGCCAGGGCAGGGCTGTTAAGGAGGGGCATCCCTCCAGTGCTGGGCACACTGTGTTTGCATGGCCGGGCTCTCACCATGGATCCACGTCTCCACCATTTGTTTTTCCACTCTCTGGCCTGCCAACATCCACAGCAGAGCCGGGCACAGCAGTGCAGCAGATAAGCCAGCAGCACTGGGCTGTAGGGGTAACACCACCCCAAATCCAACCCAAACAGTGCCTCTGGGAGTCAGGGGAATGGGTGATGTGGCCTGGGCTCAGGCGACCTGCAGGCGCCCAGGATGACGTGTCAGGACACAGGCAGGCAGAAGGGAGCAGGAGCCCTGGGTGCAGCATGAGCAATGTTCCCAGGCAGCTCCCCAAACCCCAAGCTTTGCAGGCAACGAAAAGGCAGCACAACACAAGTCATGGCAAGATGATTTCTATGGACGATGGCAGGGGGGTCCTCCCTTTTTCATCTGCGTGACCCTGAGGGGGAGAGTTATTTTAAAAGCAAACAAGAAGACCCAAACAATGCCAAGATGTTGACACCAGTGGCTCCAGAGGTTTTATTTATTGCCTGTTGGTAACTGTCGACCGGGCGTCGGGATGCTCCAGGGGCTGGTGGCTGACGAAACCAGGCAGAGGGACAAGGAGTGAAACAACTGGGATGTGTGTAGTTTCTCCTTCCTGCTTACTCCTCGCACTCACTGAATGGCATCAGCCACAACGTTGGGTTTTCATTTCATGCTCCCATCCCCAAGGCAGAAGTCATCCTGCTGACTTCCGTCTCTTCGTCAGCCCCAATAGGAGATCTTCTATGACCAGTTCACCCCTCCCTGCCCCATCCCCAAACAAGGCTGATCACAGACTCACTTCAGAGATCAACTTTTACTTCTCTTTCCCAAACCTTTCTCAGTCTCCTTGGTGCTCTCTCCCCTTCCCAGGCATGGTGTGCGCTTGCTCTCCTAGAGGTCGGGTGGCTTGTGGACACCTATTACCTTTACTGTTGTTGTACATCTGCCTCGGAGTTATCAATTGCCTTTGTTCAAAGGTCACCTGCCCAGAAGATTTTACAACATGACTACAATGATCTGTTCCATTTTGCACTTTATACTGATGCCACAGTGATTTTTACCAAGTCAGCGCGTGAGTAATGAAGCACTTGAGCCTATAAACACATGCTGTTCTTGTTTATGATCATATTAATAGCACAATAAAATCATTGCTCATCCAAGCAGTTGCTTTCAAAAGAAAAAAGTTTGTTTCTTTTCGATTTCTGCATGGAAAATGGAAAGTTGTGGTCTCGTTTCTGCTGGGAGCCCTGCAGCCCCAGACTCTCTAATGGGGTGTGACTTTGAAGCTGGAGCACAGAGACTCATCGTTTTGTGTTGCGCACAAGAGGCTTCAGCACAACTTGTGTGGCAGCTCAGCTGCAAACACCATCCAAGTCACAACGGATTTGACTCTTCCTTTGCACAAGCTTTGGAGACACACAACCCCCAGGTGAAGCTGAGCACCAAAGTCATAAATTAGGCTGATTTATGCCAGTTGAGGAGCGTGCCCATTATGGTTATAAGAGGATGGGGGAGGGATGTTCTTCTTTCTTTTTCCTTGTGGTTGGTAGGTCTGTGAAGCCTTGTGTGGATCCAAGAGGTTTTTCCTGGGAAGAAGGTGGAAGCAAGGCTGTGAGTCAGGTACAGCAGTGCTCTGGGGGGTATAGGGAATCTGTTGCTGTTTTTTAATGCCTCTGGAAGTGCTTCATGGTGCAGAGAGGCAAATTTGCTGTTACTTCCCAGTCCTTGTCTATTGCTTCCCTGCTCCTCTCCAGTGCTTTTTATTGTTAAGTTGGATGTGTGCCATTAAGGAAAACAAGTCATGTTGCTTTCCAGGTCAATGTGCTGCAGTAATTAAACGTCTAGGCTGTTTACTTGTGCAGCAGCTAAACCAGAGCTGAATATTCAATCTCGCCATTGTATGCATAGAAGGAGAAAACAAACAGCACTGTTCCTTTCATCACATCAGGTGGTGCTTCTTGGAGACTGCTTTGTGGCCAGGGGCTCGTGGGAGGTGGTGTCTCCAAAAACCTTTCCTGTTCAGCATCAAATTTACATTGAATAACCCAAAAGACACTTAATGAGGAGCAATAGCACCTTTTGCACAGTGTTTTTATTTCAAAGCAGTTCTGCCTCAATGGGAAACTTGGTGAGAAGCAGCACATTCCAAAAAGGCTCTTGTTAAGGGGTGTTTGTCCCCATCCTGCTGTCTTCTCTGAAAACCTCAGATCCCATGTTTCAGTGAAATTCCTACCCAAGAATACAACACGTCATGGATACAGTAAGTGTTGAGAAGAAAAAAGGGGAGTGGATTTGGACTGTCTTTATGGTCAAACTTGGCAAAAAGCAGCTTTATCTACAGTGCTTTAATGCCACCAGGACTGAGCATTTACCAGCCTTTTTGCTGTGCCAGGCTGCCTTTAACGTCACTAGGAAATGCATTGGAATTAAAAGTAAGGTTTTCTAAAAAGCATTTCAAGAGTGGACCTTGGCTATTGTGGCATTTGAAAATGTTGGAGTCTGAGCTGCCTCCAGGGCCTGTTCCTCAGCTGGCACAAGGTAACAGTGCTGAATTGGTCTTCTATATCATAGACTTGTATCATAGGACACAGTTGGCTTTCTGGGCTGCAAGTGCACATTGCCTGATCATGCTAAGCTTCTGTTAAACCAGCATATAAAGATTTAACTTAATTAACAGGATGCTCTTTAGATTTCCTGATGATCCAGAAGAAAACAGGAGAAAGAGGGAAAATTTTATCATCCAAGTAGAAGACTATTTTCTCTTGGATGCAAAACTAGCTGCTTAATGCCTGTGAAACCTTCGGGAGCCCTCATCTCAGGGATGAGTGCGGATAAGAGCACACATGGGGGAAAGGATGGATAGAGAACAGTAAAGCAAGAGTGCTTCTTACTATTTTTTTTCCTCCAAACCAAGCAAAGGGCTTAAAGCAAACACTGGTGGGAACTTCCAGGTCTTGTCCCAATCTTACCTGTGCTTCCGCTTCCCCAGCTTCAGGGCAAGGCATGGGACTGGCCCTGCTGTGGGACCACTGAAAGATAGAATGTGGGAGGAAAGGAGAGGTGGGCACAGACGGGATGTGGAGCAGGGCCCTGATGTCACTGTTATTTCAGGTGTCAGTATCATTCTTTCCATCTGTTCACTCCTTCCTTGCAATAAAGAAGAATAGCT